ATATGTGGTTTTGAGATGGATAAAAAAAAAAAAAAAAAAAAAAAAAAAAAAAAAAGTGAAAATTTTTCACTTTCGCTCACTCGACAGACTCACCTATGCGGAAAGATGATCCGTGCGTGGGACGTGGATAAGAATGGATCATTGATGAATCTGAAAGAGAGAAACAAAAACGTCCATTACCTTCACTTTCAGTGAAAATGGCTGAAACTGACTAATATTTTTTCTTTTCTATCGTGATATCCAAAATTTTCGTTAAGTTTATATTAAAAACTAGTACCTACGAAGCATGGCTATTTCGTTATCGCGGTTACTTTCATTTTTTTTTTTTCCTTACCGTCCGACGAATCCGCAGAATAAAAGGAATATGTCGTGGCTAGAAATTTTACTTAATGAATATATACGCATACAGGGTGACTCATCCTAGACTCCGAGTATGGGAGGAGCCTCCGTATGTATCGGGTGCGTTATTCTCCAATCGGATTACCCGTAGGAGCTACGGGCAATAGAAAACTGTAGTGTGGATCGGTACCCTGACATGTTTACAAAACGATATCAAGAACACCTTGCCTATAGGCGCGAGTTACCTGATTGGAGAATCGCGCACCTGGTGCACCGGGAGGCTCCACCCAGATTCGGATTCTAGGGTGACTCACCCTGAGTATATATATATATTTTTTTTTTTCAAAATCGATACAAAAAAATATATAAAAATAAAAATTTCGAAAAAGGCCGCATTAAGAAACGCTCTTTAATATGGCCCGCGCGCAGACTCAATGGGTTTATAATTGGATCGAGTTAATGGAAAACGACACTTCCATTCGGTCCAGACACTCGACTCACGTTCGACTCAACGACTTTCTAATAGTCATGAAGTTACAGAGAAACAGCCGTATCCGAGTTGGAGAATATTTTTCGTCGACTGTAAAAATTCTGAAAAAAAAAAATATATATATATATATATATATATATAATCCTACCTCAGTTTACATCGAGCATTCAAATAGATTCACCAAGGACTGACAGTCCCCCCACAAGCTTACTTGTCAAATAACCCAGCACGTCACAGCTGTCCAACTTGACTCAGTGTGACTACGAGAAGCCTTGAGATGCCAAATCTCAGCGACAAACGACGACCTCGTTCGCGATTTACAATCCTAAATCTCAAAGGCACCGAGTAAACGTAACTACGAGGTAAACGAATTACTTTACAAAGATTTCACCTCCCACCGTTACAAATAGCGCGTACGTATGAAACGCGACTTTATCGGATTGCGTCATCGGCGCATATACGTTTTTTTTCACCCAATCGCGCAACAGTCAAGCGAATCAATGAGCCGCGAAAACCGACAATTACGAGTCATTGTTGGTAGCAGTGATAAATTAGAGCGAGAAACTGGTCTTGGGTGGGGGGATGCCCCCTCTAAAAAAAAAAATATATAAATAATACCTATATATGTACAATATATCAATGGGGAAATATCACAGAGAATATTGTCAAGGGAATTTTCGTGCGTATTGCGAATTGCGTAATGGCGGGCTCCCATTAACGAAAAGCACATTAGCACATTGGTGCTCGAGACGATACGTGTTGAGCGTAGCGAGTAACGAGAGACGTTGAAGCGAGTCGGGTTACTGAAAGACAAAATGCGGCGAGCAAGGACGTTCAATAGTAGACAAACCGGTAAAGTGACTCTAGAAAATTGTTGTGCAATAAGTAAAGTAATATAAAGTTATATATATATATACAGACATAGAGTCACCTGCGTACACGTGGACTAGCAACAAGTATAGAAACGTGCAGCAGCAGTGGAAATAGGATGTGAATTTTTATTGATAAATAATCCTCGTCACTTTTACGATATATATATATATATATATATATATATATATATATATATATATATATATATATATATATATATATATATATATATATATATATATATATATATATATATATATATATATATATATATATATATATATATATATATATATATATATACGAATTACATATGTGGATAGCAATTTAAAATTTCCAAGTGTACCCACCTCAAACGCATAAAAAAAAAAGGTCCGTCTCTTTTCACGTCTCGTGGAAGCTCGTAAAAGAGCCATCTCTTTTCTCGGTTAAAAATTACCCTACCCAGCGTTACACGAAACGAGCGTTCATATCCCCTGGCCTCGTACGAGACTCGCGTAAGCTTGACAAAGCACCTTCGAAATGCCGGTACTGTTGCGAGAAGTAAAGTGGGCGGTGTATAAAATTAAAAAAAATTTAAAAAAAAAAATTGAAACCGACAAACATTTCAAAAATTGGCATCGAGTCGATAAACCGTCGGCTGACGATCAAGGATAACGAAATGGAAGCATAGAGAATGAAATTTGGCGAAAGCAATTTCATAGCAAAATTTTCGCATCAACCCCAGCGCGTAGTTTACGCGATTCTGGCTGAAAGAAAAAAAAAAAAGAAAAAAAAAAAAAAAAATTGGCAAAATCGCAGAGCCCGCTCCCCGTTCATCGTCCCATCCGTATTTCTTTAGACTCCTGTCACTCTCGGTACCCCGGGGCATAAGTGGTACGTAGCAGCCCAGGGGTGCCAAGAGGGTTGGTTCGGCGGGGTGGCTATCTGTTTTTTTCGCCGGTCTACGTATGTACACACGCGTCCCGCATTACGCATGCGCAAGCGTATTTAACGGAACAGACGAATGAAAGGAGCTACAGACCAATGGAAAGCCGAGCGGAGGCTTCGCAAGGCCGGATTAACCCGCAGCCCCTGCGAATACGGCTCCTCTCCTCTGTGCAGCGAGACTCGACAAATCAATAATGCGCTAAGAGTCAGACTAAGTATTTATTCAGGCATAGCGATGTACCAGCCGATCGAGTATCGATATCCACTTACGGTATGAATTGGCTGCGAAAAAGAAAATTAATAAAAAAATTTCAAATTATTTTCCAATCTTCGTCGGGAGAAGAATTTGGAGGGTGGGGGTACAATTTGATGATCGCGTTAAT